CCTCAAGGTGACGGCCAATCTGACATACCTGTGTCTCACACTTTCATATATATATATATTATGGGCACGCGTGTTAATGGTGTCCTCAAAGATTGTAGTTTTGTGCTAAGAATTTACAATTGGGTTGGTGATGGTTGGTGAGTGAGAGTCAGAGTCCCCATGTTACGTTTCACATAAAAGTAGAACAACTTGATATTGACCTCTCCTCAAATACTGGCAACTCCCAAAAACATTCACCTCATGGATAGGCAGAGTTGAAATCACCATCACCTGCAATGCTGATGTTCGCATTTCAACCAAACACAGGGGACCCACGGCGCCCGCAGTGATTCAATGATTCTTGTGCCTGACAAGACCAGTTTGACTTAACAACAAAGGTGTCAGGACAGATCTGAATACCTCTAGACCAAAGGTGAAGGGACCATATCTGACATCTGAATCTGCGCCATGAACAACTTCCGCGGTACAACACCACACCCTACCAGAGTCTCTCCCGCATCCCCACGCGTTTAGCACCAGTGGCTGTGTGCATCAGCCATGTTTCGGACCTGATTGGTGGATCAGGCCAACAGTGAAGACCGGATCTCGCAGAAAAATGTTCAGATGATAAAACCCATCTGTCTGCCAGTCTGGAGACCAGTCGAGAAAAAACACACCTGCCATCTAAAGCTTCCTACTCCGTCAAAAATGACCAAGTCTTGAATAGACGGCACATCTTGAATCAGCTGCTTGACACATTTCCTTGACACATTTCGTCGTGAAAAAAACTTCGAACAAAACACCGGGCATCCGAGCCATTGGGAAGAGTTCCTCGGGCTCCAAGGTGCCATTCTGGTCCTCCAGAAGAGACCGCGCCGGCTCGCGGGTCTCCGGGTACATCGAGGCCCTGGTCGAAAGGTTTCAGGATGGTTCTTTCCTTTTTCCTTTTGAATCCTTTTGACCTAGATTCAGGTCTTTATAATGGATTGAGAGTAGATGACACAAACATCGCTAAAACAGGATCTCCGGGCCGTGTCCCGCCCATCTACCGGTGCCGGCCTTGTCCAGCTCTTGGAAGAAGGCGATGCACTCCGTCACGAACTTTTCACCTCATACCAGGGCCCCCTTGTGAAACAGGGTGTCATAGCCCCGAAAAGAGGCGACTGCCCAGCATGGGTCCTGGTAGATGCTGTGTTTCACGACCTAAGAGTTGGGTTTTGGTTGAAACTTGTTGGGGAGCCTGCAAGCTGCCAAACAATTCAGCACTGTTTACGGCCCTCTACAGGGCTCGGGCTCGCTGTCAGGTGTTGACAAACTTCTCTCCAAAGGCGGTTTTGTCATGGGGTCTGGAGGTGCATTTTCTACATTGCAAAGTTGTGCAGCAGGCAAGGATGCATGCAACTCAATCCCATACGCGCTGTGAAACAACTACAGCAATTGCATCAAGTGGCTGAGCAAATCGTTTCGTAGCCATCCAGGAAGGTAGGGCATCACCTGCAGATTTCACCAAATGCAGCAAAGCTCGATTGTCAGAGGCAAGCTTGGGCAAGGCCGACTGATAGATCGTCGAATCACTGGGACGCATGCGGATTACTAGTGGAGCCCGCAAGCAAAGAGCTTTCATCTATGTTCCTCTTTCCAGGGGTTCTATATACAAATCCAGGACAAATCCATACCCCATGGAATAACGCCTTTTGACACGTACTCCCTCGCGTCTGCACCGGTCCTCCCTCCCTCCGTCTCTGTTCGAGAATGGGGCGCACGATTTGCTTTCCAGTTGTAGGTCCCTTTTCGAAGACGAACACACCGTCCAAGCCTTTCAGGTGTATTTCTTCTATATAGAAAAAACTCCCTGGAAGAATATATAACATGGAACCTGAAAACCACTGGTTTGTAGAGGAAGCTAGTAGTCTTCCAAAGGTCCATTTTCAGGATCATGTTCATCTTCCAGGGTGTATTGTTGCGCATTCGGAACATCCAGCAGTGTAGCGCTTCGTTCATGTCACGACCTGATCAAATACGGAAGTCGACCTCAAAGCGTCCTTGGTCGCTGGTGTTTTACTTGGTCAGTCCACCCAGGCGTGAAGAAGCTAACACAAGTCTCCAAGTCTCCAAGTGTTCTCATTCAGACCTGGCTCTAAAGCTTCATGAATGGCGAATGCATGTCAACAGGCAACACACAAAAACAAACACCTGCGGAGGTCTCTTTTCTGGTGTCAAGAAGAGATGCCTCCGAATCCATTCCAATCACAAGCGTGGATGGCACCAACCCTCCCAACTCAGCCCAGACCGGTGGGATTTCGTCGGTTGCCTCAAACGATACGATGCATCTGGAGAACTGGAAGACGGATCTCAAACCGGCTTCTCTACCGAAAGGAACTCAATGACCTTGAAGCTCAGTTTATCATCCAGCTGATCTAGAGCCTCACTTTCTCCAGGTGAGTGTACATCAAAGTCCAAACCACCGACCTGGTTTCTTGTTATTCCAACTGCGGGACTGTCGATTTCGATCTCTTGCCAGCAGCCTTTTCATGCAACGGTCGCACACAGTTCGACACAGTGAGAGGCATGCAGAGTGAGGTGTAACGACTGCAGTGGAGAGCAGTCCGTGAGATGTCTGAAGGTGTTTGGGTGACTTTGAGTAGAATGGTACAGCTGGATCAGTTGGGTATAGTACTATACAACAAGGAAACTGAAGAACTGGACTGACAAACGGCTTTGAGGTGTTCAAACATGTTCAAACCTCCTACTTTCCCTGCATCCAACTTGGCTCAGTCACTGTCCGTCTACTCTACACATCTCTACACGTCTCTACTCGTGCCCTTTGGAGATCCTTCATGTCGATAGAAATCTTTTGACAAGTGCTGTTCATTGCTATTCTATAGCCTCTAGCTCATGTGCATTTGCAGCTTTAAACCCCTGATCAAGGTTCTGATTGAGGAGTTGTAAGCCATTGGAGTCAACGGTCCCAGAACCGTGGCATTGTAAGCAAAGGACCATTCCTTCTTGCATCGCTTTTTCCGGGGAGCCAAGCCAAACTGCGGCCTATAAAAGGATTGATTACCATGTCGAGGATTGGCTTCCGGGTCTGTAGACCATCGACCAAAAAACATCTGCCTAGAATCTTGATTTGTACCATGGCAGCACGTGGCTCTTTCGTATCAATGATTGACGACAGGGAGCCCTGTTGGATATGGCGACAGGGAGCCCTGGACCTTTTCAGAACCTTCCCCAAAATGAATGCAACATAGTTCAAGCAGTATGTACAGTACTCTATTGATTGGGTGACTGTGGAACGTCCAGCTTCTTGTATTTGTTTCACTGTCCACTGCGCAAGCTTTTCCTTCTACAGCCTGCATCTGCGTAGCCTTTCGGAGTCAGGCCACGCGGACGCAGGACGAGAATCTGTACAGGCAGGAAAAAACTCAGTGGACGTCCGTGGTTTGGTCGTTTGGTCCGACTGTGGAAGGAAGTTTCCGACTGTGGTTTTAGGTGTGAAAAGCAGCGTCTTGGGTGATTCCAGGTGGTGCAGGACGTGTTTCCATCTAACAAGAACATTGAAAAAGGGACGTGATTGGAGCTGTTGCATGTCATCACAGTCACGGCCGGAGTCCATGTCACAAGCCATCAACCAAAGCACTACTCGTTTTGGGACCAGAACAAGCCGCTTCACTCCCGGTCGCCTGGACTTGCGGGTGCAGTCCGAGTGCGGGACCCGCTACATAGCTCAAGGAGCTAAACCGGGCGCGATCGAGCTCAACACGAAGGCTTAAACTATCGAATTTGAGGGGCCCCTTAGCATGCGGTCTTGCAAAGCCTTCGCTTGCACAAAAGTCTCTTTCCACTCCAAAGCCCTGAAATGTTGGGTTTTCTGGTGTTTGCTGAATTCCTTATGCAGCAGACTTTGACCGCAAGATGTTTTGTTCTGGAGGTTCCACTCAAATGGTACCTTGCAGTCAAACAAAGTAAAAGGAAACACACATAATTGAATAGCAAGAAGCTACTGGGGGCTCCTGGCATCGCTACTAGGAGCAAGAACGCTACCAGTAGCTCCTGGCCTTACTACTAGGAGCAAGAACGCTACTAGGTTGGAGGCATATGATATAGACATTTCTCAGCCTCTTGCAGCAACACCCTGAGACAATGGATAGATCCACACGCACATTCTCAGCTCGCTTTTGGGCGAAAGCCTATGAGTCTGAGGTAGCTTCAGGGATCCAAGTCGATGTCGTTTCTACCGTATCCTCTCCATGGAGGATCTGGAATGTCCATCAATTTCTTTCAGAACACCCTGTCCTGTCCTGGTCCTCTTTCTTTCCCTGCATCGTTCCTTCTTTCCCTGCGAACCCAGCCTCAAACCCCTGGTGGTCGTGGCACAGCACCCTCCTGCAAAGTTTCGCCGCGCCCCTGAGGGCATTCCAAGACCACACCATTCTTTGAGAGCTGAGGTCATGTTCCATCAAGTTCTGAACGACCTCGCACAATCTGGATTGCTTGTAGAACGTTCCAAATTTCCAACACATTGCTGTTCCAACAGTTGGAAAACATGTTATTGTGTACAATCCCAGATTGAAGTTTGAAAAGCAGGTTTGATCGGTGCAAGTCTGCTGCCAGCCAAGGTCATAAGGTCTGACCCCTGCTGGTGTGCATAGGCAGCTTAGGCACCCTACAAAGGTTGAACAACCCTACAACCTTTCCCCATCAGATGTAATACTATATGCATGTATTACATATTATATATATATAGTTTTGCACCCGGTCCAAATGGGTCTAATAAATAATGCACCGTGTCCCAATCCCAGCAGGTGTCGAGTCGAGTCTCAACCCCTCTCCCCCCTCTTAACTTGACTCATCTCCTGCAACATCTTGTTGAGCTGCGCGGCAATCTCCAAGCAGTAGGCCATCTCCCCACGGAAGTCGGACCTGTGCCCACACGAAGAAGTGGGTTCGTGGGACGGTGTGCCACGCGGAAGGCCGCGCGGAAGGTAGACGAAGCTGCTGGGGTTGCTGGGGTTGGCCATCAAACCACGAAGAAGTGGTCGAAACGGCCCAAAGGCCTGTAGACTGTGAGGACTGACCTTCGACGAAAAAGCAGGCTGCTTCAGCCATGTGATAGGGCAAAACGGTGAAAGTTGTATACCATTTGCCTCTCATCGCAAGTTGAGCAGTTCGGTCAAAGGATTTTGCATATTCTTGCATCAAGGGGACAATCCTGTTGGAACACTCTCATCCTTGTTGGACAACCTGGTCGATGAGGGGCCTCCGAGCCAGCCCAGCCAGCCGCCAGTTCATCCAAATCACTGGCCTATGACCATGTCATGGGAAACATTCCTCGTCTATGTAGTCTTCCCAAGTCGGCAGGCTAAATTGAGGGGACCACAGAGACACACTTCAAAATCCCCCCAAAAGCTTGGCCCCACCCACCAACAGCGCCAAACAGCCGCATGCTGGCTGAGCGGCTCTGATGTCTTTTGTAGAATGAAGGAACGCAACGTGTAGAGGGTCCTCGGATCAGGTCTGAACATGCTACGCCACTGATTCTCAGCCAGTGGACCGCACGCCGATCGACTCGCCCGGGAGAAGCGACCTCCCAAATCGACTCGGGCTGCCCCAAGGCAGGGAAGCCAAACGGACCTGTAAAGTGTACAGTGTACAGTAGGGATATCGATTCTGTTTCTGTTTGGAATGCGTTGGACCTGTAGAATCTTTCGTTGCCAAAACATCCGGAATGTGTTTGTGTCTTGAAAGGATGTCGAACCAAGTCGTCCATTGTCCAAACGAACCATATGTTTGCCTGTCCACCTCCCGAGCCTTCAATGATCAAACAAGACCAGGTGTCCTTCCATCTACTCCTGGCTTCCAAGCCTTGAAGATGTAGATCCAAATTATTGCAGGCTTCAACGTATTGTCGACATCTGTCGACCGGTAGGACTGGATGTTTGCTGCTGAATCGCAGCAAACCATCCGAGCACCCATGGATTTGCTACTGGAGTTCTTCGCCGAGTTCGTCTTCTGCTTCATCACATGTGATTCTCTTCCAACGAAGCTAGGCCCCCCGGCTGCCCGAACTGCCGAATCCTCTGCTCCTGTGCCTGCCCATGTACATCAAGGAACTCTGATGGATGAATATATATATATATATACCCTAGGGCTCCAGTCGTACCTCCTCAAAGGTACTTGGACCCTCCATACCTACATAACAGAGCCTCCAATCACCTTCTGAGAAGGTACTTGGATCCCTAGGGTATATATATAAAGACGTTCGGTTCACCGACTTGTTTTTTCCACTTCGCAGCATGTTGGTTCAGAAATATAAACGAAATTAGATAGCAAAGAAAGGCTAGGTGGGTCTGACCATGGACCCCCAGTCCATTGGTGGGTTGTCCCCCGCTGCCCGGCCACACCCTGGGCAAGGGAGTACACCCAGTCCCCCCAACTCATAGTTAAGCCACGCCTCAGAAACTGTAGGTTGGGGCAGGACACAGACCACCAAAGCCAAAAATTAAAACAGAACCTATTTTCTGCCCGAACGAATGTTCGTTTTTCCCTTCCTCCTTCCACGGCCCCCTGCTCTTCCGCCTTTGGCAGGAGGCTCGAGTGTGGGGATCGAAGGGTTCAACAGGAAATTCTTGTACACGGTAAGAAAGGGCTTGACCCGCTTGTCAGAAACTGGGAGACGCATCTGACTAAGGACTGCAAGGCCCTCATTGAGGTAGATTCTTGCACTCTTTTGTGTGTGCCACCTGCCCTGGATGAGTATTCTATCCAAGTTCTGGTGCTTTTGAAACCAAAAAGTGGCGCCCCCCCCGCCGAAGCGAGTAGGGGCGGAAGCCAAAGTCACTAATGCTCAGCTGTTCGAGGCACTGGTTGAACAAACTTCTCCACTTGGCAGGTGACGAGGTGAGGGAGGTTGAGGGAGACGAGGTTTTCTTCCATAAACGTAGGACTTTCACTACGGGCTCAAAACCGAGGACAACACTTTCAGCGGCACCAAGCCGCTTACCACCCTTGGTGAGCCCCAGATTTATGAGCGCCTGCAAGGCACCTGGTCCACATTCAATGTGTGACGAGAGAATCCCCAAGATTTCCCCCGTTCGCAACATACTGTAGAACCCGACTAACAAGGAGACCGCAAAGGAAAACCACCCATGGAAAACTGCCCATCCGCACATTGCATGAACGATGTGCTCAGGCAAGGGTGGAGCACGAGATGGGATCTCGTTAGTTTGCCAACTTCGCAGGAGCCTCCAGGCTGCCGGCAAATGCGTCCGCAAACCGGGCTGCAGGTCCTGTAGCCCTGCCAGGGTATCGCAGGCCAGGCCTCTGCCGTACCCCTGGCTCCACAAATGCTCGAGATAGTCACACACTAATGGGTCCAGTTTGGCTTTCGCGGTGGGTAGCTCTAATCGCTCTGAATGGAGAAATCCGAGGAATTGGTCCACGGCTTTGTCATAACGCTTGCGTGTCGATGGCTGCACTGTCAACTGTCTCAATGTTCCTAAACGGCGACGGATCTTTGCGCGTTGCTCCTGCGTCACTCCCTCAAGGACGCGCTTAGGCATTCTTGAAGCGAGACCGAACTCGTGTTCCCCACCGACTGGGCTTGTCAGCAGGGTTGCTGTCCGTGCGCACGTAACCCCATAGGCATTGGGAGTTGGTACACAGGAGAAGTGCGCTGATCCGTGCCATCGAGCTCCGGAGCTTCCGGGAGCTAGTTCTGCCCCGTGTCAGGGCATGCAGACAAACCAATGAGTCAGTCAGGTGCAGCATGCGACACCCGTGGTGACCTTGCCGTTCCAGCCTCCACCGCAATGCATTCAGGATTGCCCGAAGCTCAAGCGAGTTGATGTGCTCATGGCCCCCTGTCCACTTCCACCCAGAGACAATGCGCCATTTCCATAACTTGGCGGGCACCGAAGCACGTAGACGATGGAATTTGACCAGCTGAGTGGTAGGAGTCGTCAAAAGGATGTCCTCACCCTTGAGGCTGATGAGGTTTCCCAACTTGAACGCAAGCTCATGCTCTCCACCCCCAACTGTTTCCTGCTTACGCAAGGGAAGGCGGATCAGACGATCCTGCACCGACTCGGTGGCCCCTGGTGCACATCGGTCCACAATGGCCTGAGGGCTGAGCTGCAGTGCAATCCCAAGCTGCGACAGCAGTTGGTTAACCAACCAAGCAACGACTGGTACGCTCCACGTGTTACCCAGGAGCGTGAGCCGCACGTCCATGTAGTTCTCCTTCTTACGCTCGCCCTTGCTTACGCAGTTGGAAGTATAATGAAGGGGAAAACCTAACATGACCTCCCGCTCGGAGACGCTGGGGACACGAACGTTGCCGCGCTTGTCCACTACACCGTGCCGGTCCAGGTACTGGTACGGCGGGAAGCGATGCCAGTCAGCCCGCCAGCGAAGCAGCTCATGCTCCTGACACTGAGCCACCCCTGCCGGTTTTCTGCCAGGACGGGGAGACGGACGGGAGGTCGTAAAAGTAGGGAACGCCTGGTCTAAATCGACTTTGCTCCAGCCTGCTTCAAGGTAATTGTCAACTGGATGGATGGCTTCAAGAGTCCAGGAGTATGGCATGACTCCCGTGTCAACCTTCGCACCGCTCCCTTTGCAAAGGTTCCAAGTCGTCCAATAAAGCCGAGGCCGGTTGCACCACGTCAAGCTACCAGCATCAATATGCACAGGGTCACACCCAAAGTCCTGAGACATGATGTCCCGGTCGCAGCGATCCATCGAGGACACCGACTCCATAAGCGCATGCACCCCTGACCACGGGAAATGAGCACGAAGAAGGTCCCTGATCCGTGAGACGTGGACGAAGAGCGATGACCGGGCATCTTTCAGGGCCCCTCGCCGGTCCGAGTTAAGCCCTGAGACGCCTTGACACGGCGGTCCCGCTCCGAGGAGGACAAGGCTGCACTGCGAAAAACGAAGGCTCCACTCCTTAACGTCCTGGTCCTGGATCTCCTCCACGGTGTCATAGTGCACCACGCCAGGGTACTGGGACTCTACCACCCTCCTAGCGGAAGGGTTGCTCTCGACCGACACGTATCCACAAATTGCAACAGACTGCAAGTCCATGGCTACCCGTAGTGCCCCAATGCCATCAAATAGGCCTACCAGAAGCACCTGATGCTCGGGCAAGGGCTGGGGCAGCTGACCTCTCAAGCCACCCTGTGCCACCATAGACCCCACTGGTGTCAGCCCTGATGAACGGCAAACACCTCCACCTGTGGTTGAAGCGTCGCTGCAAGTAACCATGGGGTGCATGTCCAGCCTGAAATTCATCCTAATCAGAGGGAGCAGCCCAAGGAACCTCAGGAGCTCAAGCCGGCACTCTGCAGGCAAAGGTCTGTGTCCAGCTCCCGCCGTGTTGAAAGCCTCAATGAAACCCCAAACTGCGTTCAATGCTCCCAGTACCGGGCGTCTGAACATGCTGAAGTAAACCAGCCCTCCGCAAACAACCTGAAGCTGCCTCTGGCTGACCACCTTCTGGCCCAAAAGCTTGAGGGTGAGGCTAAAGTACTTGGCAAGCTTGGTCTCCTTGGGAAAGGCGAGCCCTAAGACTCCATCGACCGTGGCGCCCTGTAGCTCACACCTTGCTGACCTCTCGACAGCCTTCTTCTCGTTGCGGGGGACTGACCAGACGAGGTACTCCTGACGCAAAGCCCGTACCTGCTCGGGCACCGTCCCTTCGTGATCAACCATGCCCGTGGCTGTCACCTTCTCAAGCAAGTCATAGTTATCCAGATAAACACGCCACGAGGGATCCGACACAGTGAAAGGGCGATCCTTTCGGAGCTCCGAAATCTCTAGAGCTGAGCGTTCCTCCAGACCATATGACCATTTGACCAGGTTCCTGTGGACGTTCTGGGCGATACTTACGGAGTTGAGGAACCCCATGGGCAATACCCTGGAGGCCAAGTACACCACCTTACCTGCCATGTCGGGGGGAAGGCAAGCTGACGGAACTGTCTTGTTGAACGCCAAAAACTTAGTCCAGCAATCAGGCACCCGCATCGCATAAAAGAAACACTTCACATCTTCGGACGAGATTAGAAGGTTCTCACCTGGCTGCAAAAAGAATGGGCTCATCATGCTCCAAGACGGCAGAGTGTCAATGTCCCCCCCCAGGGGTTGACAGATGGAGTTGAAAGGTATCATGTTCATAATCAGGCGGAAGACTTCAACTCCTTGAGGGGTCCAATCCTCCTTCGAGACTCCAAAGAGTCCGTTCAGGAGTGGTCCAGAACCCGTCTGGAAGACCTCCGTCTCCTCCAGGAGGCAACACACTCCCGCTCTCACAAGCCCAGTGCACATGGTAGCCCAGGCACCGTCCTCTACCATGACTTTTGGACGTGGGATCTTACCCCAAGCTTCCCGTGGTTTCAGGAAGGAGTCCAAACCAACAACGTATTCCCTACAACCCAGGGTACACACCTCAGCCAGCGGAACCAGACCGATCTCTTTTGGCAACGCCGGCGCGACATTCTCCCATTTTACCCACCGAGCGACCTTGACCTCGTCGCCCTTGTAGTCAATGCCGCGGATGGTGAAGTATTCCTGCCAGTCAATGCCCGACACGACTAGGTCCAGTTTACAGAAACGTTCAACCTCAATGCGGATCAGCTCCAAACAGACCTGCTGCCGGGAGCTAAGAACACTATTGCCAAACTTGAGACCTCCCCATAACGAGTTCAGAGCAACACACACACAAAGAATCCACTGTGAAACTTCCTGTTGAATAGTGGGCCACAATGCTACCAGGGTGTCAATGGAGGTAGGCAGGGGGAACAAGGCGGAATTCCCCCCACCCTTGGTCTGGCTGCGAAGTGGAAGAACCTCCATCAAATGCTGCAGCAAAAATGGTCCCAACTGTCGAACACTCTTCCCATGAAAAAATGACTCTCCCTCGTCCTTTTCAGGCCCGGGCACAGTGACTGAAGGGCGAGCCTGAAGCCGCTCGACGTGTTCAAAGCGCGGAGGGCCAGGCGGAAACTGCTTCAACAAGGCGCCACTCGACGTGAGAGGCTCATCAGCAACCGTCGGCATGACAGTCGTCTGGCCTGGAGAAATCCCGGCATGATGTACACACGCCGACAACGGACCTGAAAGCGGCCGTTCATCAACTTCCTCTTCACGAGGGTTGGCATCCACTGCATCGAATTTTTCAACTTCCGGGACCCCGGGTCTACAGCCTCCAGCCGTTGACGCGCCAGGGCCTAATTGCTTGGCCTCATACTCTATCTCTCCACCCGGCTCCCGGCACCAGGAGCTCATTTGTTGGTCTCGTCCTTGGCCTTGTGCTTGTCCCCCTTGGTGCTGGTCTTCCCTTTTCCTTTCTCCCGACGTGGCTCGAAGTCCTTGCCCTTCTCCTGGGATTTGCCTTTCCCCTTCCTGCCATCTGGCATGGCCGCCAATGACCGAACCTTTGACTCGGCATATGCGTCCTTCTGCGCAGCTGAGACCTCCTGGGGCGCGGCAATGTAGAGCCCCTCTTGCGGGGCTAACTCCATCCTCTGGGCGACTGACCAGTGCGTGCCGCCTAGCACCGTCTCGATGCTCTTCAGCCTCTGGCTTAGGACGTCTGCCGTCCGTGCAGGATACCCTCTGAGAAGCCAGTCCAGCGCCGCCGACAACGTCATCAGCTCCCGCTGGACAGGAGGGGTCGCTCTCCGGTGCAACTGTTGCCTGTAGTAGGACATGCACACCGGCTGCACTCCCGACGGCTTGACCTGCTCGCCGATGGACTGCAGGAGGTTGCTCCGCATCATACTCAACGAGCTGCAGGTCAGAGCCCCTGGAAAGGCGTCCGCCATCTTTTTCAACTTGTTGTCCGCCTCGAAGAGGTCGACCTCCCCACTGGCTTCCGCCTCGGATGCGCTCTCCTCGGTTGAGCTCCGGCTCGAACTCGACGACCGATCCGACTTGGACCGTTTGGCGGCCTTCTTGGCACGGCGAGTCACGCGCTTGCGCACGCGCTCGCGGGGATCCAGGCCTGTTCCCCGGAACAACGCCCGGAGAGACTTCTGCGCTGCCGATCTTGGCTTCTTCCCGTCGTCGCCAATGCTGGTGGTCGAGGAGCTCCCCGGCGGCTCCCGCTTCTTTCCAACCTCTGCCTTCTCCTTCTTTGGTGCGCTTCCGGATGATGAAGCCTTCTTCTTTTTGCTCTTCTTTTTCTTCGAAGCGTCTTTCTTCTTGGACTTCTTCTTCACCTTGAGCTCCTTCTCGGTGGCCGGCTCCTTCTCCGCACGACCTGCGTCGCCGCCTCCTGACGAGCGGAGAGCGTCCCGAGCTCGAAGATCTCGGAGCTCGTCTTCCCCTCCCGGATCTGCATTCAGGAGGTTGCGGGCCCACGGTTCTTCTTCCGCTGCGCCCTTCATGAGGCGGGCCCTGCGAGCGTGAATGAGCTCGTCGGCTACCCTCTCTGCCGAGCACTCTTCCGGACAACGATGAGCTCGGATGAGGACCGTCGGCTGGCCCGAATGAAACTTGAGGAGTGCTTCGCTCGTCGTTCCAGTGGCTTCGAGCTGTAGGTGGATGGCGCCGTCCTCTATAGTCAAACCCTGGATGACGGCCACACGGCAACTGGCCAGGTAGTACAATGCCTCCGTGATGACGATGCGCACCCCTTTCCCGACCTCCTCGATGGGCAGCTCGTGGAGCTTGACTTCCTCGCCTCTCAACCAACGCTCCCGTGGTGCAGGAGCCACTCCAATGTCCAATGCACTGGCCGGTCGACGAACTGGTCGCCGCAATGCTCCAACTCTCATGGCCAAGCGAGCTTTTGCTTTCGCCACCCCCTTGGCCTTTGCTTTTGCTTTGACCTTTGGCGCCATGGCTGCTAGTAGCGGCCGGCACGGCGGTCAATTCCCCGCTGTCGGTGTTTCGCACCCTTTGAACCCCTTGGTCGCTTGGTGGGCGACCTTGCACGCTGCTTTCCACCCCAATAACCCTGACGTCCTCCTCGATGGCTTTCGCGATGAGGTGGTGGATGACTGGGTGACCTCGGCCTCCTTGGAGGAGGGGGAGGCGGTAGGAGTCGGGGGAAGATCTCCGAAACTGGGATACCTCGACTGGCGGCTGGCTTTGGTGCCGGTTGCAACCCGAGCCTAGCTTCCTCGAAGGTCTGTTCACGTGGGCGGTCCCCTGTGGGATGCTCTGCACTGGCTGGAGGCTGGTGCACTGCCTCTGAGGGAATGGCAACACTCTTTTCCTTTTGCCTCCTACGCCTCTTCCTCTCACCCTTCGGCTCTTCTTTGCCGCTGCGATCTCTCTTCCTTCTCCTCTTTTTGACCTCCTTCCCACCGGTCGGGGCGTCCCCCGCTTCGTCTTTTTTCTCGTCTGGTTCTCCTTGTCCTTCGTCTCGATCAACGATCTCTGCCACAGGCTCTTTCTGCTCCTCCTGCTCGACCTTGGGCGCAATGGGAAACAACTCAGGGGCCTCCTCTGCCCCCGCAATGTGGTTCTTGTCCGCGGACTTCTTCTCAGCAACAGGAGCCTCTGCTCCTGAGGTTTCCCTCTCGCGAAGGAGGATAGGTCCTGCCTCCTCAGCAAGATCCTCTAGGGCCCCTGCGGCTCCTCTCAAAGCCAAGACCACCGCGGACTCTTGCGACCGAAGCAGGAGCCCTCCGTGAAGGATCTCCCGGATGCGCCTCAACGTACGGCACGCGGCACAAAGTGGTCCTCCAAATAAGCCGCAGGAGGAGCAGCTCATGAAGCTTGAACCACACACTACGGGAAAAAACAGGTAAAGTGACCTACGTCTTAACCCACGGGGTCGCAGGTACATATATCAACATGTAACAAATACCCATATTTTATTTGGGAGATGTGAAGGTCCATCCGTCATGAGTCATCATGTTTATCTCTGGGATTTCGCCACCAATCGCCTCCAGAGCAGCTGCAGTCTCATCATCCTGAAGTTGCTGACCTAAAGGCCCGGTCAAAAATGGACAACTTCACTTTCGAAAGAGCAAGTCAACCAAGTCATTGAGGGTTCTTCATGGGGTCTTGCTGTGTTTTCAGCAGACCCGCAAGCCTCAGGAACCGCCGCAAATAGCACAAGATCATCGACAGAACAATTAGGTCAACACTTGTAAAAAAACAAACAGGATACATGGACCCTTTGGGCATCGCTACGAACGGAGCAAAGGGCATCAGGTTTACTTGATCCCAGACTACAAGTCCACTGGTACATGCATCGCCCTGTCGACCAAGGTGACGGTCACATTTATTGTAATGGCTGCCTGTTTCTCATTTTCCTGCATTCAGACTCATGACTTAAAATGCACACCGAAACAGCACGCAGCTGCTAGCTACCATGGCCCTTCTGCGCGCCCGGACGCTTGCCGTCGTAGCGAAGTCGGATGAAGTTTACCTGAAGTGAAGAAAATCCGGTCGATTCTTCCAACAGATGGGGTTAGACAGAATCCTGCAGTCTAATCTCTTCAATTCTGACAATACTAGTTCAAACAAACATAAACGTAATTAGAATCTCTGGGTCGACCACTTGATTCTGCTCGGTGGAACAGCGAACAATCTCATGAGGATTACAGCTTATTGTGACACTGAAGATGCATGATATCATGTGTATTTTATACCGTAACGTTAATATGTTGTTTCATTGCTTTTCGTTATTTTTTGGGTGGATGACACCTCCCACACCAGACGGTAAAGGACGCTTCCGTCGTTTCGCCTCCCAGTCGGCCTCCTTCTCTTCCCCCCCAAGGAGCCCCGAGCTCCAGGTTCTTGTGGGTCACAGTTACCCCCGGACGTCACCAAAAACCGAGTGGTACGAGCATCATGATCATTGCCAGACACTTCATGTATGGAATCTTTATATCATACATTGAGGTGGTTTCAGGGGTGAATGTAATAGGTAAATGTGTCGTACATAGTGTCTGGGATCCTCTCCGAATCTGCGAAGGGACCTTGTAACTGAAGGTGATCCCCCGCCCACTGGCTTTTTCCAAGTCTCTTTTTTTCCAGACGAGTTGATTGGAGCTCATTGGTAGTTTCATGATGTTTCATGTAATTGTGCGGTCACGTCGGCCCGGCGGGTGTTTCTTCCGTGAAAAACGCTTCGTCGCACCTGCTGCCGCAAGGCCTGCGATCGCTCCTGGCACACGGCGGGTCTCCCCGGCCCCTGGGGCGGTCGCAGCGGCCCTGGGCCGCAGAGCGCACAACGTGGTGAACGACGAAGCGAGCAGGTACCATGAAGCGCCTGATGGGGGAAGCGGAGATCCAGTGACTTGAAGCGGATCCAATGACTTGATGTTCCTGATCCATCGAGGTGTGTTTCAAGTTTCAAATGGATTTGAATCACCCAGCCAGCAGCCAAGATCGAATCACCTAGTTCCAATCCTATGCCATATACCATCCCTCCCCCAACCAACCATCCCCAACCATCCCACATCGCATATCTGTCCCATTCTCTTCGCCCACGTCCAGTCCCTTTCCCCTTTCCAATCCCGTCTCCTCCAAGCCCTTCTTGGATCCTTCGAGGCGTTGCGCCTCGAAGGCACCTCGAAGCTTCCACCGAGCGAGCGAAACCGTGTGCCGGCCGACTGATGGGGCGGCATACATGGCATATACATGGAGTGTCTGGGAATCAAAACAAGCGACCTGAATTCGGAGAGATTGAGATGATCATTGTGATTCGTTCAAAGGATTCTTTCTGCCAACCCGAAACAGGCAGAACCTGGAAGCCAAACAAAACATAAACATCATAAACACATATGTATAATTCTGTTATATATATATAGCCGCAAGTTGCAAACAAAGTATCTCCAGTTTATGAACAATGACAGCAGTTTTGCATCATCATCGTCATCATAATCATCATCATTTCTAGCTCGAAACCTTGTGACAAGTGACAAGTGTACAATATTATATATATACACACACATCAACACAGCCTTGGCGATCAAGGCACCCTCAAGAAGAAAGAAAATGTGAAGGTGCCCAAAAATGGTCTGCGGAAACACGAGCGTAACCACGACTAGAAGAACAAAATCTTCAAAACCCTCTACACTCTGACACATCACATGGTCTCGTGGCTTCCCCACCTGCACTGCGTAAAGAATCGAAGGGTTTTTCTCCTGTAGATATCATATAGATACTGTAGATGTCAGCAGGGGACGGGTAGAACAAAGAGGAAAACCTTGATCTTTAAGAGTTTTTTTCCCCACCGGACAGCTGCCTTGAGCTTTCATCTCTTCAATCCTGTCATAGCGCTCAGTAATCTCCTCACGAACGCCGTGGCGGCACAAATGACACTGGCAGAAACCGCCATTGTCTGTCACCAATAGCTTCTTGTTCCTAGTAGCGATGCCAGGAGCCCCTAGTAGCTTCTTGTTCCTATCCAAAAAGTATCCTTGAGCCTTGAGTGGTTCTTATCCAAACATCTGGCAAAACAATCGGTCGCAAACAAACCGCTAGTCTGTTCATAATGCTCATGAAAAAATGGGTCCTATCAAGGATTGTCAGTCAATCTCCAAAATATCGATACAGGTCATCTGGGAGAACTATCAAATCAAACGTGTTTTGAGCGGGAGAGAGTATCCGAGGTCTTTGGAGCAAAATGTCGAGCAGCATCGTCCTGTGCAATCATAGTGTACGAGCCACCATGTTGAGAATATGTATAACTGAACTGGTGGTTAAGATTTCCTTGATATGTCGTCAAAGCCATGCGAACATGAACAAAGGCTAAAGAAACGGATCATGACCGCAAGCTACGACAAAATCAAGTGTGCAAATCTGGTCCTTCTCGTACTGCCTCATCTTCTCTTCAACCTAGCAGCTGATCACTTAGCCACTCAGCCATCCAACGTTGGCTCTGGACTAAGCGGGTGTCCGAAATGGACTTCTAAAATCGACTGCGGTGTGAGACGATCCGATGCCGACACGCAAGCGACTGCAAGCACAGGCAAATTCGGACCTTTCACAAAAGGGCCTACAGCAACTATCAGCAACTCATGAAATCCCACGGCCACACCAACGGGGACCCGCGTTCCTACAGTAATTAAAGAAGGATTGATCCAATTGATCCAATGCCTTCCGTCCCCTAAGATTGGAGCTCGAATTTCTCGAACTCTGTCCATGATCCAGGACCGTGAAATGCACACCTGTGAGAGCTCCAAGGAGATCTTCACATCCAGACTTTCGATCTTCTCCAGTTCTCCCTCACCTCAGACCATCTGGTATCAAAGATTCGACGGAAAAAGCCGGCCCTCACAGGAATTTCTGGGGCCATTCCCGAAATGTTCTGTCCATGAAACATGTCTGGCAGTCTGGCAAGGCTTCTCGCGCACCAAACATACGCCCTTGAGGGTTGGCCCAGCGGAGGACAAGGTGCGGGAAACGCATGAGACAATACGGTTGCTTGGAACGACCGGTCGCCTACAGCCTCACCGGAGAGAATGACAAGTCTACATCCCTTCTCTGTGTTCTTCCATGAAGGCCATCCACGCCGCTGGCGATTAACTAAGAGGCACATGTCAACAAACGATTGGGTTAGAACAAACACAGTTGTCACTGATACAACTGGGGGAAGAATCTGTTCCATCATCTATACCCAGAGCTTCAAAGCTTATATCAAGGGAATAGTCTTTAATCGTCTTTACATGTCTTTACAAACGGCAAACCTTTTGATGTTTATACCACTCCCTGTGAGACCGTTCTCCGCTGGAGGTGTTGTACCAGTGTGGCAAGGACTGTTCACATCCATCCTTTGGGGGTTCTCTGCGTGTCTTCAAATCTATTTCAATTCTTCTAGATATGTCCAAACCTGACCAACATGAACCTGGTGCATATCCACCTCAACATGTGGCCTCAACATGCCTCAACGGACATGGTCGAAAAAAAAAAAAAAATCACAGGGGGGTAACAAGCAGCTACCTCGACTTTAGGACAAAAGCACAACCTCCGTGTAACATCTCAGCCAAATCGGATCCAATCTCATCCAATGCTCATCCTCACACGCAAAAGAGAAAGTCACTAATTTGTCTGTTAACATATCATACATATTATTGGATACTATATTTGGGTGTGTGTCTGCATTCTTCTTTTTCCCTTCTGATCCACCATTCACCGTTCACTGTCCGAGCGACGCTTGGCCAGCTCTGCCTCCAATCGGCTCCTGGCGTCCGCTCAAGCTTGCTCGTTGGGAAACGAACCAGCGTGGAGCTGATCTAAGGGTGTCTGATCAAGAATGGTTTTACATGGCCTGAGGTGTCTATTCATCAAGAGTCTATATTATAAGAACTTCGATCCGTTCGATCTATATCTGTTGCCACCTGAGTTATCACCTGTCTGATGTGGCTTAGCTGACTTGAGTCGATTTTACATGGCCTACATGGCCTTTTATGTTGACTGATACACCGGTACTTTGGAGAGTTCTGAGCTACAAGTGAGTGGACTGCACTCGCACATGAGACCCCCCCGTGAACCGAACTGAGATTAGGCTCCCCGGTTGCAAGGGGGCTGCAACAAGGGTGAATGCGGCATCTGAATGTCTTCCGCAGGTGAGCATCAAGTACCACAGTGATTCACTTCGACTGGATGCTTGGACAAACTTTGACAAACTTTGTTGAACATGCTCAAGCTTCTCAAAAGGCCTGGCGTGTGTGCCACTGCCCAAGCAGTTTTTGGATACCCAACCGTTCACCGGTCACCACCAACGCCAGACTCATCTGGTCGTCGATGCGCCAAGCTGGAGCCCCCGGCTGTGTGGTCTCGGAGTTTTGCAGCTGAGCTTTCTTGAAGTCCAGCCTGGGCGATTCCGGTGCGGCGTCACGTGGGGCAACCCACCCACCCTCCGCGAGCTGACGCGGCATCGCCAGGGAGCGCTTGCGCGCTCCGCTGAGGGAGGATGGGAGCGAGAAATGGGATTTAACAAACATCCCGGAACTCATGCTCCCTGCAAATCCCCAAGCTGAATCAAGCTGAGAAGTGCTCGATGGTCAATAACTGCGAACCTGCCACACACTCGTGGTACGCTTTTTTGCGCCGAGGACCGTCGGACAACCTTCGGACGAGGACCAGCGAAGAAGAACTGGCATCCTGTCGCTTGTACATAGGTAGAAGTAGACGTTTTGCTTTTCAGTGATCTGATATTATAGAAATATCCTCTGAAGCTCATCCAAGGAAGGAGCCTCTAGCAATATCTAGAGGAAAAGGATGCGTGATGTACAACGTCCATGCTGCCTACTGGTCGCTGCTGTGTATTGGGCGTAGCCTCGGCTGTCCTCGTTCCCTCTTTGACCATGCAACAACTGGTCAGTATGATTGAGTGTGACCAGTATCTATACCCTCCAGTTTGTCCACTCCACTAGACAATGTTACATGACCCGACAAAACAACAACAACAACAACAACAACAACAACGCCAACGCCAACGCCAACACCAACACCAACACCAACACCAGCAGCAACAACAACAGCAGCAGCAACAGCAACAGCAGCAACAGCAACAGCAACAGCAACACAAACAAAATCAACAACAACACCAGCAGCAGCAGCAACAACACCAGCAACAACAACAGCAACAGCAACAACAAGAGCAACAGCAACAGCAACCGCAACAGCAACAACAACAACAACAACAGCAACAGCAACACAAACAACAACAAAACCAACAACAACAACAACAACAACAACAACAACAACAACAACAACAACAACAA